TGACATTTGTATGTGTGTATTATGTAATATAACTCTTACTATTATATCTCTTAAGATTACCGTGGTCTAGAATCTTTATTTCTTTGTGATTTAAAGGTTTAGGATCATGGTTCTTATTGGAAATCATAGTCTGGATGTTATTGAAGAGAAGATAGCAGGTTTGGCCTGAAACTTTGAATAAAACTAATTTGACTTGAAAGGTTTATAAGTCGCATTATGATAATCTGGTTAGTGCAAACATGTTTGGAGTTGACATATTGTTTGTAAGCAGAAAATTTGATTTGAAAAGTGAAAGCTATTAGTACTACGCTTTACTTGTTAATAATCTGCTATATATATATATGAAAAGTTCTTTTACTTAAAAGTTTTGGGTGATTATCACCCTGCAATGACATAAATAGGGTGACTCACTAGACCTTTCGGTCTAACTCTCGTTTTGTGATTTTTAATTATGTATTGTAGGAAATGCAGAAGGTAAAGGGAATGGAAAAATATAATATTTTCCCTATGTGTTTAACAGCATGAAGATTTGCTAGAGTTATGTATAATTTTTGTAAATAAAGCTTGATTAGTACAAGAGTGTATTTGGAGTTTTTGGACCTTGTATTTTGTAATGATAGATTTTTGTACTAGGGGACCTATGCGGTGTGCAAACCTGTATTTCTTGTATATGGAATATATGTTACATGCAATGTGTGGTATGGGGTGTTACAGTATCAGCTTGGAAAAATTCTCTCGCAAATCCGTCGCTGATCCGTCGCTGATACTCCGTCGGTCAAATGCTCGTAGGTAATGCTATCAACGACGGATCAATGACGGATCAGCGACGGATTTGCGAGGGATACTTTCAGCGACGGATCAGCGACGGATCCTTCAGCAACGAATCTGCGACGGATCCTTCAGCGACAGATCAGCAAGCGATCCTTTAGCAGCGGATCAGCGAGGGAATTTTCAAGGACTTTCAACGACGAATTTTCCTATTTTTCCTATTTTCTCATTTTTATGTGTTATATGTACATATTTTTATATGTTGGTGTCGTATGTATTGTAACACCCCAAATCCGTATATTGCATATATAACACATAATTCATTCATAGAATACATGTTAATCCCACAAAGGTCCATAATACAAGAGTCTATAATGCAATTACACAACTCAAAAATTCCAAAAGTACATGCTCTTGTATCTTGACATTTATACTTTCAAAACATGGCTAATAAAGATCTTCATACAGCTAAACATATAGAGAATAATTTACATAATGCTCTTTCCCTTATCATCATTACCTACACACATATATTTGAAAACACAAAATGAGGGTTAGACATGAATGTCTAGTGAGATTCCCTTTTTATGTAATGCAGGGTGTAGATCATTAAAACATTTATTTAAATATACCATTAAAATCAGAAGATAAAATCACATTCTGTCCATCGGGCCTCTGGTTCCAAATACCATGCATAGAAATATTTTACTAAACAGGACCAGAGCCCCTCTGGTCCCTCTGCCAGAGCCTCTGGTTGTACTAACCTGAGCCTCTGGTTGTACTAACTAGGCCTCTTGCTCAAGTAATTCTTCATAATATTTCTTGACTTTGACTTTGTAAATAAGGAAATAGTCTTTCCATAACTAAAAATGATTAAAAGATAGTTCGTGTTCGACCAGAGCCTCTGGTTGTACTAACTAGAGCTTCTAGTTCAAAGGACATGACCAACCAGAGCTTCAGGTCCAACCCGCGTAGGCCAACCAGAGCCCCTCTGGTCTTGTCTTTTGTAAGAAAACTTTCTAAGTACAAAATCATTTTCTTAAAAAAAGCTTCTTTAAAATATAATTTTGAGACAGAAGCTCTTATTGATAGATACAGAGACTCTGGTCCAATTAGTACATTAAGTAAGAACATGCATATTTCTCAAATCAAATAACCAGAACCCTCGGGTTCTATAGTGAGGAGCAACAAGAGCTCCTCTGGTTCCTCATGAAAATGAACATTCTGTTCCAAATGCTTTTAACCAAAATTAATGACCATAGGCCATATTTTCATGTAACCATAACATCAATACTATTATTTCTAATAAGAACAACATCTTTAAATTCTCAAATCACCAAGAAGTGAGAACTCCAATCTGTTGTAATCTTAAAGATATAATAGCAATAGTTATACCATGCACACACAACGACCATCCTTATTACATCCACAGTTCCCCTTAATAGAAATAGCTATATCCATCACACACACAACGACCATCCTTATTTCCCCTTAAATTCATATGAACTATTTCATCCATAGACAGGCTGCAGTCATTTCTGTCAAAGTGAACCTCGTTCATAGTTTTAAATAATCATGGTCTTAAAATAGGTTTGTATTCAAAACCCTTTTTAAGCCTCAAGAATCATTTGTTATGTAAATGATTTCTCAAATCATCTAATCCTCTTTAAGTCCTCAAAACAGGGTATGATTCCCAAAAACTGTTTTTAAAGAACAGTTTCTGCTTTAATCTCTCCAAAACAGATTCCAATTTCAGAATTGATATGCACTAAGTATTTAGTACTTAAAGCACCTTTTTATTCTCTTTTAGATTGGTTATTTTCCATTTATATCCCAACTTTGAGTCATTTTATCTATTTACTCTTATTTTTATGCTAAAGTGAATGTTGAACCTGTTTTGGTGGATTTTGGTCTAAATTGAGCTTATTTTGGACAGATTGAAGCTGGTTGATGATGCGGGAATGTGGCAGCATGACCTGATGATGGAGAAAGAGATGGATGAGACTTGGAGTTGACCGACAAGACCATGGAATGACTTTTGAAAGGCTTCTAAAGTTGGACAGCTATGTTATGTTCAGATTAGCTGGAACTTGTTAAGACTAATTTAGTTGCTTTTTAAATATTAGTTTACTTTATTGTACTTTCTAGTTGCTTTAGAACTAAAAGTGTGTGAATTGTCTATTTTGCCCCCATCTAATCTCTAGTATAAATAGAGATGTTAGGGGATGTTGAAGACACACCTTACCACACTTCACTCCATATTCTCTACTTTTCTCTCAAGTAGGTTACCATACCACTTGGAGAACAAGTCTCTAAATATTATTAATCTTTTGGCTAGTTTCGAGTTCTCTTTAATCGCTTTATTTATTTTCTCGTTCTTAATATTCCGTCATTTATTTATTTACGCTTACTTGCATTTTATTTACGTCATCTATTTATTACGCTTTCCGCATCCGTACTTGCTTTTTGCATTTATTTTATGTCTTCATTTATCGCAATTTATTTTTCTTGACATTTATTTTTCGTCATGAGTAGCTAATTTTATTTGCTATGGTGTATGACGAAAAGGGTGAGTTTGTAAATCAAATATGGTTGACCCTTTCATGTAACAACAATGTTTTACTTTTTCATTTCAAGTTTTATAAAACCAATGACACTTCTTGACGAGTTGATCACTGAAAAGTGTTAAAGTGTCATTAACTCTAAGCTGAGCCATGGATTGCACGTCAATTTGGATGATATGGAAAGTAGACTTGAGAGAGTTGCTAACAAAGAGATTTGTTATTCGTATTTTCTAAATTATTAATTCTCAACAGGATGATCACTTTACAGTGTTAAAGTGGAATGGACTCAGATATGAGCCATTCAGAACACGTCAACTTGAATGATATGAGAATCCACTCGAGAGAGCGATATTTAACAAAAAGATTTGTTTATCCATATATTTTCAAGACACCATTTGTCACTTTCACTGGTCTGACTAGCTCATAGAGATATGGGCTGAAAACTATAATAGCAGTGCATTGGTGAAGTCCGAGAGGAATACCTTCAAAATAATTGATGAAAATAGTTGTTACTGATTGCATGCTGTAGCAATTTGTCAACATGGTTTCATGCTGTAGCATTTTGACTGCATTGGTCTACTGGAATTAGTATTTACATCTCACCCGAAAAGTCATACACCCTAGCTTGCTTTTATTATATGTTATCTTCTGTTAATTTTTAGTTGTGTTAACTCAGTTCAAATCAAAGTCTTCAAATTTGCCTTCTGAAATCATTTCCTTAACTTTACTTTCTTCTAAACTTTTACTACGATCCCTGTGGACGATAACCGGTACTTGTACCACTTTTATTACTTGAAAGACGATATTGGGACTATTTGCATACTTGCTTTTGGTCCTGATTGTAGTTTGTGGTGTCATAGCACGTATCCACGATCAAGTTTTTAGCGTCGCTACCGAGGATTTGTTGGTTAAAAGTTTTCTTTTGAGTGAAGTAAAAAAATTGATTTTTCTCGTCCCGTTTTTAATCTTTTTGAAAGTAGTGTATGTCACGGAGACATCGTGGGAAATTTTTTGAAGTGGATCTCGATATTGAGGGAACGTTTCACCAAAGAAGGAGGGCTCAAAGAGAATTTTTTGCTCTACTCCCTCCCAACATGGAGTTACCTCCCCCAATCATACCTGTGATTCCACATTTAGAAAATCAACCGCCTGCCTTTGGGACAATACCACCTTTTCCTAATTTTTCGCAAGAACACCCACATCATGATAATAATTTGGGCAATGAGGACACATAATCGGAAAATAATGAACAACCAAGAGAGCAAACTCCGAACATCATTAATTTAGCAAATTTCAAAAATGGACGAATCATGGACTATGTCATCCCTGATTTTTAACAACTAAATTCTGGGATAGTTAGGCCACATATGACTGCTCTCCATTTCGAACTAAAACCGATTATGTTTCACATGTTGCAAACAAACGGGCAGTTTGTAGGATTACCTTCGGAGGACCCACACTCACATTTGAAATCATTTACGGAAATAACTGATGCTTTCTTGATCCCAGGAGTGTCTAATGACGCTCTAAGACTCACTTTATTTCCATTTTCTATGAGGGATCGGGCAAAGACATGGTTTAATTCATTACCGCTGGGGTCTGTGCCTTCATGGAGTAATATGGTGGAAATTTTTTTTGCAAAAATATTTCCTACCAAACAGAAACGCTAAGTCCAGGAACGAAATTTGCCTTCTTAAACAAATGGACGATGAAGTTGTTCCTGAAGCTTGGGAAAGGTTCAAACTTAAGGATATGCCCTCACCATGGCATCCCGTACTATATTCAACTTGAGACGTTTTACAATGGGTTAAATCCCATGGCAAAACAAATGCTCGATGCGACTGCGGGCTAAGCCTTCACAGCCATGACCTATAATGCATGATATGAGATCCTAGAGAAAATTTCTGCTAATAATGGACATTGGGCTGATCCACGTGCTCAATCACAAAATAAGACAGCAGAAATACATGATGTAGATGAATATACTGCATTAACAGCACAACTCTCTTCTATGGCTAATATGCTTAAAATCTAACTTCTGGCCAAGGAGTGCAGGCAGCTATTACATCACCTATTCTAGCAGTCCTCTCAATGTAATGTGTCTGTTATGGAAGGGAACACTCTTATGAACTGTATCCACATAATGCTGAATCTGTGAATTATGTTCATAATAGATCGAATCCCTACACTAACACATACAATGCCAGTTGGAGACAGCACCCAATTTTTTCATGGAATAGTCCAAGTTTGAATCCCCTAGTGTAATATTCTGGTTATTATTTCAGGTTTATATATATATATATATATATATATATTACATACACATATACGTGTATGATATATATGTAAGTTATGTATGTGAGTATGAGTAATATTTTTGTTTTAAAATGAAAAGAGAAGGGCGGTTAGTGAACCGCCCACATTATTGAGTATTTATATAGAATTTGATTTGGATGAGAAGGATTCTCATTCTATTTTTTGGAAAGTTTCTCTGAAAAATTTTAGACTGCACAGGAAGAAGAAGAAGAAGTTTTAAAGCTTTGATTCACAACTTCTAAAAGGTTAGTGTATTAAGAGCTTAAGATATGAATTACTTACATATAGTTTGATAAGCATTTGGAATTGATTATTATGAGTTTGGATGCATTTTATGATGATTCATGAGTAAATCGTACAAGTGTTATCCGGATTGAAATCCGGATAACTAAACCGCCCATGCTTTGTCCGGTGTATCATCAAAACCGGCCAAGAGGTAAACGGATATCATCTAAACCGGCCATGTGGTGATCGGTTTATTTCTAAACCGATCAAGTGTTGTGCGGTGTGTTGATCGGATTATTTTAAACCGGTCAATGGTTGGATTATGTGTTGTCCGGTTTAATCTAAACCGGATGACAAGGAAAATGAAGTGTTGTCCGGATTTGTAATCCGGACAAGGATGTTAATATATTTTCAAAGTGTTTTGACCGGACTTCTAATCCGGACAGGTTTGACCGGACTTCAAGTCCGGATGAAAAGAGAATGTTTTTATGGAAATGTTTTTGAGATATAATGGCAGTGCAACTGCGAGTAAGATGGCGGTGTAACCGCGAGAGTAATATAATGGCAGTGCAACTGCGAGTGAGATTAATATAATGGCAGTGCAACTGCGAGTGAGATGGCGGTGTAACCGCGAGAGTGATATAATGGCAGTGTAACTGCGAGTGAGATGGCGGTGTAACCGCGGGAGTGATATTATG